CCCCCCCCTCAAATCTCTGTCTCCACTAGTCAGTGCTGTCAGGACGCTACTGGTCAGTACAGTTAAGGTGTCACTGGTAAGTTTCAGTTAGGGTGCCACTTGTGGGTGTTTTTTAAATAATTTATTTATGGAGGGTATTGTGACTGGAACGTCTTACTGTCGCTTTTCTGTCCCTCTGTTATTTCTTTCTGTCTTTCCTTGCATTCCACTGTACAATAAGATCGGTATTGGTCGCCGGTGATGTTCTTTTTATAACTCGAACTAACAAATAAACGCCTGGGGAAAAACTGTTCTCATTTGTCGGTGGGTATCTAACGTCCTTCCTCCTACCGGTTGGAAATATAATAGTCCTGGCAGTCAAGAGTACACGGCTAGCCACCCACGTGATGTTCTGAGCTGTGTTGACGTCGATGTGGGCGTACACGACATTTACGGCAACATTGAGCTGTGTTGACGTCGATGTGGGCGTACACGACATTTACGGCAACATCAGGAGCAGTAGTATGTCGCACTTTTCTGCTCATCCTGTTGTTATTCTGGGTTCTAGATATTAGTACGGATGTTTGGAAGATGCCTCTGGTGCTGGTGGTTGGCGAGTGTTCTCATTTACTTTGTTTCTTCTTTCCTATCAAACACCTGTTGTCCTCATCTCTCTCTTCCTTGTGCCGTGTATGGAGAGAGAGACAGACAGACAGACAGACAGCGAGAGAGATGGGGGAGAGAGGGGGTTCAGAGAGAGGGAGAGAGAGAGAGAGAAAGATATGATAAGTGGAAGACAGAAGGAAACAAGATAGAAAGCTATCGATAGAGAGAGCTTGGTTAGAGAAACAGAGAATTACAGAGTGGGGGGGGGGGATAAATAGCAGAGCGCTAGAGCTCGACAGACATGCAGACAGATAAACCGACGGACCGTCAGTCGGACAGCTCGAAAATAAATACAACATCTGTATTGTGTCTGGGCGGCTGTATTGAACGGTGTCCGATCGGGACCAGAGATCCCTCCTCCTTCAATACATATTTCTGGGACTTAACGAAGACTTGACAATTACTCTCCGGGAAACGGCAGCGGCCACCCTGTTCCCCCGGCTCGCTGGCTCCTGCATATTCATGAGGCCCCGGTCTGCATTTCTCCACAAAGAGCGGTATGTGGCGTCTGGCTAGCTAATAGAGACTTTTTTATACGAGGAGTAAGACTGAGAGCTGTTTTTTTTTTAAAT